TATTGCATTTGACAACATATTATCTACACCATCCATTTTCAAGATTTTCATATGCTTATATATCTACTTGATTTTAACATTTTTGAAATTTAAAATTTTATAATTAGATATAAAAATAGATTTTGAGATAATCCTAAGAATATTTTACATCAAAATTATATACCATGATAAAATTTGAAGGAGCACGTTACCTCTACACCTACGGATGCATCCGTATGCAAACTACACCCTTTACTGAATCACCTTTACTCATCTCCAAACTAGTGTTTGAAACCACTACTCGGGTCGAGTAATCGACCCATGTTTGAGCTTAGTAACCCTGCCTAAGCACGGTCGAGTACTAGCAAAAATATGTTAAAAATAAAAATAAAAATAGAAAAAATATATTTGAAGTAAAATTAAACAAAAAAACTAAATTTGGTAAAAAAGCAACAAAAACATAGATTTTTAAAAAATCAGCTTGTGATGGGATATTTTTGAAATTTTTCTAAAAAGATTGGAAAATATAAAAAATAAGTATTCACAGCCAAAATATTTTTCAAGCTTTGTCACAATTATAGAAATATAAAAAATATTAAAAATAGATTTCTTATTTTTTGAAATATTTTATAATTTTTTTTAATACCCCTGAGTTAGACCCCCAACTCGGGACAACTCAGGCTCGGCCACCACCCGGGCCCGAATAACTCGGCGAGTCCGAGCTGATTCGGCCGATTCCAAGCTGCATCTTAGAAACGAGGTCAAACGAAATTGGTTTTTGCCTATTTGTGCAGGAAGGCAAATGGGGAAGCTGAGTCACTCATCAAAAGAGTTCCCTAATCCTATTCGTCTCTTATTGAACAATACACATATGGACAACAGTTTTGTAAGCTAATTAAAAGAACCTTATCGATTACAAAAATTTATGGAGTTTTGAAAGAATCACTTTGTGAATCAATTTGCACTCCAAGATTGACACTGGAATTTTAGGTGGGTGGGATTAACAATTTCTAGAAATGGATATCAGTCTTTTTAAATTGATTATGTAAGTCAAATATTCTTTTGCAAATTAATGTCAAAATATTGTCCGTACTTTGTTGATTGGAACAAAATGTAAAAATTTGGTCCTGCGGGCCTAATTTATA